TAGCTCCTTAATGTGTCGAGTTTTAATAACAAATAAAAACCGGCTTTGTATTTACGAAACGCGTTTGTCACCTTCCTTTACCACACGTTTGTCAGTCTGGGGCCACCGTAGCCCATACAACAGCGGAGGGCGCATCGTTCAATGGCGGTGCCGGGAAGCGATGGCTGAAGTTGGAATGCTACGACCCGGGTGGGTTTCTCCTTCGCTCTCTTCGCTTTCTCCGCGCATTCACTGCACAACTCCCCTGGGGACCCCTGTCCTCGTCGTCACGTCCGCGCGTCCCTATCTCGATGGTGTGTAACGCAAAAAGGGCTCCGAGGCCTAGCCTATTTCACAAAGCCTACGGTTGTGCCTAGTTTCTTTGCCGCCTTTGGGGCTCCAAACGGCGGCCGGGGCTGAACGATGTCCATCCTCCGTCCCGTGTTAAACCTCTTGTCAAATCAAGCAGTGATTGTACAACATTGCGGGTAGGCGACCGTCTGGTGATACACGGGCATTCGTGTGGACAGAAGTAGTTGAATTCACAGTTCACCCATTGTCCTAAATAATAACAATGTATCGTCAGCCCTTTGTCATTACAATCGTTGTCATTCAACCGCTTGAGGACGGGGCCAGAGAAGATGCGGCCCCTTAACAAGTGGCACAAAGGCGATCGTCACCACGAACCGAACTCCTTGGCCCTGAGATTTTTGCACACAGCGGTTGTTTTATTTTGGAAGATTTGCTGGTTCATCCAGGATGTTTCTGTTGCGCGTCGTCACTTTAAGATGTTCTCCGTTCATATTTTGTTTGTTGCGATTGCACCCGGCTTAAGAGCCGCATGGCTCACAGGGCTATACCAAATAAATGAAACTTGAGAGATCCATTCCCCGGTGGGCATCGCGACCACTCGCACTCCGCCTCACTGGAAGGCCTTGGATGAATCGCTGACATCGGCGTCAAACTTTAACTTCTTCCCCAGCCATACGAAGATGACGAATTCAAATGGCGTATGAAGCTCTCCTCGCGTTCCTATCGGTCATGGGGATTATTAGATTCGGCTTCACGACGCTTGTTATTGTGGCTTGAAGGAGTGGCCCAGGATCGGGTCAAATATCACTTACCACCCCGATTAGCACGGTTGGCTACTAGAAGTTTAACATGCAAACATTAGCCGTGACCCACTATCAAACTCGGTGTACAAGGTTTATAGCGCAGTGCGCGTGACATTGGTACTGAAGGCTTATCGACTGATTGATCTTAAACAATGTGTACTAAGAATACACAGACTTCGAATGTTGATTGTTCCTTTGTTGATTGTTTACTTTTATTTTTTTTATTTTTTTTACCTACGTGACTTTACCGACAAAACCTAAGAATATGAATCCTTGCAGTCACGAAAGTTTCAAATCTAGAACCTTCCATTGACGTCGGTTAATTCAGGATTCGAGTCCCAGCTGCAGCCGCTCAAGAACTTCCCATAGGAAGCCTTTAACAGCGCTCTTCCATTCGCAGCGAGGTGAACGTTTAAAGACCGGAGTGGCATTGCTCACGAAACAACAACATCGCCTGTTCGACTGTTTGACGCAGTCGTCGCCTTTGGCGGAAGACGCAATCCCAAATTCGCACAGCTCTTCTCACTTCTCGTCAATGAAATGTGCCAATTTTGTTATTCACTGCAATGTAACAGCAACAGCAATGCAATTTAATCGGATCGCAATCCTGGTTGGTGACAATTCATTGAAGTTTGATGTTGCCAACTTTGTTATTCCCTGCAATGTAACAACAACAATGCAATTGAATCGGATCGCAATCCTGGATCGTGACAATTCATTGAAGTTTGATGTTGGCAATTTTGTTACAGACCTGTGTGGCCAGTTGTGTAAAAACACGCTAAGTGGAGGACTCTGCTTTAATCGGCACTGATTTAATGCTACTGACCCCCCCCCCCCCCCGGGTTACCTTGGCTGTGTTGCGTAAAACACGGCCAGGCACTGTCACAGCGCTCTAGAAACACCTCGGCTTTGACGTATTAAAATGCTTTAACAGAGTGACATGAATAGGATTCTGCAATAACGCACCTAAGCTAACTTGACAGCGTATCATTTACTCGTGAATCGTAAAATTTGCATCACAGCGTGGCATACTTGGCTTCGGTGTGTTCTGTGACCAGTATTAGCTCCGTTCAATGGTAAATCAAATAAAAACATACATTGTCTCCCTGTAAAACGTGCATTTACAAAGCATGAGTGCATCTTAAAAAAGCAATACAGGCGAGTGTCTGCACACATTGAAATACACTACAGTAATATGAAGTTGAAATTATTATTTCTGCTTCCCTATTTCCGCAGTTGGTTGAATCATACTGGTAGGAACCTCCTGGTTACACCAGCCCACAGGGGATTATTGTGTCCGTCCGTCGTGCATCCAAAAATGGGAGGGGAGGGGTGGGGCTGGGTGGAGAGGGGAGGGTGGGGAGGGGCTGGGTGGGGTGGGGAGGGGCTGGTCACCCCGTGGGTGCCCTTATAAAACTCAACGTTTAACCTACTCACGCCGGCTTGGGCCCGCCCTCACAGTCGGGCATATTTGCGGAATACACCACGCCGCCGTTGATCCTGGCCATTGATCGAGCAACCCAACGTTCCTACCAGCTCCCTCCGCAGGAATGTGTTTATACAGCACTTTGTAATAAGGCACTTGCAAACAACACCTGGCAGAAAGCCAGGTTTGATTATCCTGGACTCATAAATCCTTGCCTAGCATATTGTGTTTATATGGTTGTGTCAAATCGAAGACAACGCCTTTGTTATGGTGAGGTGCCTTAGTTTTACTTAATTTTTTTAAAATTTCCACCTTATCTCAAGTTTCCTCTGCTTATCTACTGTACTGTTAGTGAAGAGAGGGGCTGTGTTTATCTCAAGCAAACTTAAAAAAAAACATTTCATTCCATGATCAGCTTTCCAAAACGTTCAGCTATGCCAGAGCTCCCTGATGTGATCTTGACGGTTGTGCCGCATGTCATTTAAAGTCAATTTCTGAAGACGTCACTTTCCAACAACACGCAATATCACCCTAAAACACGTGGCAGAGTTAAAACAGCACAACCACAAACGCCTGTGCCAGCTATGCTTTTCAGTAAAAGATTATTCCTGATGGACAGCAATTTCCTGTCACTTCTGCCCTGTGAATTTGTCCACTCACTCCTTCCTGTTAAAATAATCCTGTAGAGATGTGGAGAAAATTGATATTCATGCCAATGGCCCCTTCTCCATCATCATCATCATCGCCATCATTATGCATGTGCCTGAAAGGGTAACCACCTTGAGGTTGGTGATGGCATGGAAAGGCCTTCATCTAGCGATGGAAAGACAATGGCTGATGAAAATAACTATGATAGTCACAAGAGCCCGTTGAGGCTAAACTCTCTTTAGGTTAAATCCGGACTAAGCACAAACAACAAAGTTTAAAAACAACATAATAACAAAGTAACAAGTCAAGCGTAAATATACAAAACAAAAAAATCGGCATACTTTACATGGTTCAACACAACAGTCTGGCACAATTAGATCCAAAAAATATATTTTATAGCAATATAGGCTTTTGAAATATATTTCTACAGCGCTTTGACATACGTGCAGTCACATCGAGACCAATGGTTTGCTCCAGCAAGGCTTTGGTCAAGATCTGGTGGCTGCCAGGACAAAACACGAGGGGGGCGAGTGGGCTGAGAGACAGCACACGGTGTTGGTTTTCGTCTGATTGCCGCTTCGTCGATGCGGGGGGCTGTTAAGAAATTGATCCCCAAGTCGTGTTCTGGGCTGCATTCAAAAAATCACCTCCTCCTACGCTTCGTAGAAGCAAACTGGAAAAATAACAACACGTGCGTTTATTAATACACCTTTTTTGGGTACAGTAACGGCCATGCACGGTAGTACGAGCTGCTGTGTTTTCCTCGGTTGTCATGGATATTTGACCACGAGACATTCCGTTCTGAGGCACAGGCGTTGATTTATTTTAAATCCCAGGGTCTGATTTATTGTGGAACACAAGTCTTAACTCACTGGGGAGCAGTGGTTAGGACGTGGTCGTCCTATTAATCAGAGACCTGAGTTCGATAAGTGAACCGGTCTGCCCCCCCACCTCCATTTTCATAGACTTTTGTCTCCCCCCCCCCCCCCACACTTTTATCCTAATTGTGCTGTTTGTGTCACGCAGATAACAAAGCATCGCTCCTTGTTCGAGAATGGCCCTCGCTTAAAGACTTCATAGAACATCTTTCGAGTTTCCTATTTTCCACAAGAGGAGACGCCCTACTTTCCATGCATACTGTTATACAGATGTTTGGTGCATGGCAGTTAAACTAGGATTGTTTATTTTCAGAGCTGGAGTTAGTGCCAAATTAGGGGAAATGTGACAGAGATTATTGTGAAGTCATTGGTGACTCGGCTAAAAGCATCAACTTGCTACACTTGCGAACCCAGTTTAATCACAGGTTGCCAAAACTTGGATTCAAACTCAGGCTCTCAGCGGCACCGGCTCTGCGGTTTTGACCTCGGGAGTCATCCGATCTCCCCGTTCATTCGTTTTGTTTTTCAACACAACCTTGCACGTGACATTTCCGACGACGTCCCGTGTTTTATGATTGTGCAAGAACCCAGCGGCGGTGGTGGTGGTGTTGCCACCGGCGCCGGTAAACAGCAGATGTTGCAGTGTGGCCCTGTTTTCCCCACGTTGACCCACGCGACACACTTAGTGCGACGCGTGACGGCGCTGCCGCAACTGCTTGGCCGTGTTATCGGACACAGCACACGTGGCCTCCTCTCAGCTGACCATCCCGTCCAGCCGTCTGCCACCAACCACCGCCACCACCGTCGTCGGCCAGCGGAGGGGGGGGGGGTCACCGACACGAGGTTGTTTGGAAGCAGAGGCCGATGTTGAGGGAGGAGGGGGTGGAAGGAGAAGGGGTCTGTAACACGATAGGGCGTGTGGCTGGCGTGCCACGCAGATGGGGCTGCCTTCCGTTAAAGGGTACAAGCGCAAGGAGAGCGAGCGGTCAGCAGAATGGGCATGTCTGGGCAAGAGGAGGACGGTGCCCTCGTGAAGTTTTGAGTTTGTTAGTTTGACAGATATTGTATTCATTTACACGTTTGTTGTTTTAACGAGATGGGTTTTATTGCGCCACTGTAAGCGATAACCCCAGGACAGACGCGTTTGTGTACTTGATCTCGCAATCGTTTTGAAGTCCACGTACGCATCGCGACAGAGCTGTTGAGAAAATGTTGATCGAACTGCGTTGCGACTTCAATGCCAGGTGGGTGATCCGAATGCCGCTCGGTTCGTCTTGTTCGTTGCGATCGGCTGTTTAACGCCAATCTCCTCCACCGTGACACTCTTCTTGACAGCGTTGTTTAAAGTTCCGTTCTAATTCCGTGACAATAGATTTTAAACGTGTTTGTTGAGAGTCTGTGTGCCGTAGAAAATAGGGTGTCCAAAACTACATTGCTCTCAACGGACCACAGTGCACAGTTCCGTGTTAATATATCTTCTTAGAATAAAAATTGTCGTTATATACTGTGCACGTCTAATGAGTGGAGACTCCTGGGTGATAAAGTATAAAAACTAAAATCCGTTTTAAAGCTTTCGTGACTGCAGGGATTCATCTTCTTGGTTCTTTCGGTAAAATCACGTAGAAGGGAAATAATAAAATAATAAAGCTTAATAAATATGCTAAATTCCTCTGTTGATATGCAAATTCCTTTGTCAAGGCGCCCTTCCCTAACCCAGCTTAAATATACGCTGCCAAGCTTGGTGGTGTTCATTCAGACGCTGTCTCCCCGACAGCCCTGTTCTTCACCTGAGGACGGCTGCTTGCGTTGTGGCCGAAACGTCGTGAGAATTGTATTTTATTATGTTTTATTTTTATTATTTTATTATTTCTTTTCTAAGTGACTTTACCAAAAGAACCAAGAAGACTAAAATCCGTGTTCTTCCTCCACATATGTCAGTATCTCGCCGTGAAAATAAAACACGTATAGTGCATGACCTTGTGGGACTTTCAGACCAATGTTATCCAGCAGAAATAGTTTAAGTCAGCAAACTCGGGATCAGTGTTAATGATCGGTAAACATGTCCAACATGGGTGTCTGATACACTTTTAGATCCTCGATCTTAATTTGAATCAAATTAATTAAGTGGCACAATCTGCGTCACGCGGGAATACACACAAGATCTCTGTCTTAATTTGAAATCGGTACTCTGCTATCCGCGTTGGTGGGGCTTACCAAATACGAGGTGTGCGCAGCGAGTAACGATTTAATAGTAACGAACAAGATCTGTACACATGGAAAGGGTCGGCATGGCGGGTCACGGTGACTGGCGTGCGGGACATGGAGGAATACGGAACTGTTATCTTGTTGTGCCGTATGAAGTTCAGCATGATGTTCGTCGTTTCAGTCCGCTTGCTGGAAAGCTTCTTCAGAACTGAAGGTTAAAAGATCACTCTCTTCCGCACCTTCGATGAGTGCCGTTGGCCACGTACGGCAGAGGTCGCAAACGGGTTTTGATTCCTTACCCGTACCCGGCCGCACCAGGGTTGCAAACGGGTACCCGTATCCGGCCGGGTACGGGTAGCCGGGTATCGGGTAGGGTGCGGGTATCGGGTACCCGATTGCGACCTCTGGGATGAAGCCATGCTGCAGGTGCGGGTGGGTTGATTCTAGGAACTTGAATTGTGAGAAGAGACAAGACGTTGGGACATGAGTGACAGACGGTTGCTCACCAGTGACTCACGGCCTTCTCACTCATTGGTTGGCGTGAGTCACGTGCGGCTACCCGTACCCGGCCGCACCAGGGTTGCAAACGGGTATTGGGTAGGGTACGGGTATCGGGTACCCGATTGCGACCTCTGACGTACGGTGCGAAAAAGTTCAACATACATCGGAGGGCGTGCCGAACGACACGCGGCACAACCAGAAAACAGAGGATAGCTATACAGCGCGGGCATGAAAACCTAGCTGGCAGTAAAAACAAGTATGCTTCAGAAGCAGGGGTTGATGGGGTCACTTACAGTTGGGTCGAGGGGCGGAAACCGCTTGAGCAAGAGAGATGAGAGCGACGGCCAAGGCATCCTGGTGGCTTCCAGTGGTCTTGTCAAGTTACCCCCACAGACACGTTCTCATTAACATCGTCTTATGCATGAGCGAGGCATGAGGCTTTGCCAGCTGTGTACGGAATGTTCGCCGCACCCGATCCATTACGGTCAGCATCGTCAGCTTCCTGGGTTCATTACTCTCTTTTTCATTCAATCAAGGGACTTGAAATAATGATGATGATGATGATACTAAATTGTAATCATACTGGACAGCCCTTTGTCAATCTATCGCTGGATTCTGTCCAATTTACATACACACACTTCCTATATATTTTCAGAATCTGTAGATGTTTCATGTTTCCCCTAAAAAAATACTATTCATGCGACGATACCATTCTGTAAATACATTCTTCCGATAAACAACTACTACGGTGCCATTTCTGTCATACGTATTTTGTGACCTGGAGGTAGAATGTCTTGACAATGTCATGCAGACGTGTGTATTGGGCATCAGCCATCCAGATTGCTTTGGGCCAGGCCTAATGTCTGGTGTGGTGGCAATGGGAATTTTGGCACCATGATTTGACACCGTCTTGGTTCATTTGGCCACCCCTACTCCATGTGACTGCGGAACTGCCTAACAAACAACCGTCCCATCCGCATAGTCAAGGACTGGCCTTCCTGACGGAAACACGGTCGAGAGAGATATCTGATTGAACTGGATGAAGTGGCCGATAGTCAAGTGGTTGAGTTCCGGTGGTGGTGGTTCTCATTCATCATCCCTCTGCGCTTTAATGAACTTAAGTTAACGTTTGCCACTCGTTAATTTGCACAATCCCTCCCTGAAATGTCCTGAAACTACTGCCGACGGTCTTGGGCTGTGGTCGTCCTTGCAAAAGATCTGCCCAGCTCAATGGGCCTCACCAGCTGAACGACGTTGACGATATTGACCTCTGATAGCAAAACTCAAGTCGAAGAAGAAGATCACGAATATTTGATGCCCAGGGTGGTACCGATAAACCATTTATTTTAGGCTCAGCGGCTCAAAGACCCTGTGTGCCGTCGGCAGGACGCCGGAGATGGAAGGGAGCGGCGTGCACGCGCACTGCTCCGCGTGCGTCAGCCGCCGGTGCAAGACGCGCGCCGCGCCGGGCATCGCGTGCGAGCTGCTGGCGTGCCCAGCCTCCTGCGGCGCCGTCTTCCACGCCTGCAAGAGCCAAGAGCACCGGCTGCTGTGCCCGCAGGTACCCGGCCGACCCCCACACACACGCGCACGCACATGCACACGATTCGGCGATTGGACACGGTTTCCGGTGTGTTCCGTCCTTTGGCTGTCACTCCATAGTTAGTCTCGATAACCGGGCCTGTCCCTGGTGTCATTCTCAACCTTTCTGGTGTGGCAGCTCCCTATCAAGACCGCCACAATGCGCTACAAATCACATGTTCATATCCATAGTCATTGCAGTGGGAGCAAGACATTCATGGCATGTTGTGGTGTATCGGTGTGTTTTGTGTTCGCATGCCTGTCAACCTGCACAGTTTACCCATATTCTTGTACAGCAAAATTGAGTTGTCAGGTCCATACAGTGTACAACCGTTTCTATACGGGAAAAAAATGTTGTCTATTTGTGTTTCTCCCTTGTGTTGGGACTTTGTAAGATGAACACTGAGCTTTATAAGGGCACGGGGTGACCAATAAGGTCTGAATTGGACTGTAATAAGGTAGGCACTGATACGGGGTTGACAGGTGTGTTCGTAAGCCATTCGTTTCATGTTGTGTATTCGTATTTGTCGCCGTAAGGTGGCGCCAACGTTCCCTGCGCGCATTCTAAAATTTCTCCTGCTCAGTATCCATGCCGCAGCTCGCGACCCTCCTCACCGGAAGGCATTCATGCCCTCCAATCTCTCTTGGACACAATCTCCTTGCACAGCATTGCCATGGTGTGTGTCGCTGTGTTTTTCACAGCAATAGAGATTGAAGTGTCGTTGGGGACCCATTGGGGGGGGGGGTAGGGGGGGGGCACGGGGACCTCTGATTTTAATTGGGGAGGGGGACGTGATGCCAACATGATTGAGATGCACTTCTTTAGACTAATTACTATTATCACTACACTTGTTTACCCAAGAAAACCTCACTCAGTCGCATGACTTGTCATCAGGAGGGTCCTGCCAAGTTTTTTGCCTTTAACATTGAGCGCCATGGGAGCATTTAACATTGAATGCTATGGGAGCATTTAACATTGAATGCTATGGGAGCCTTTGACATTGAATGCTATGGGAGCCTTTAACATTGAATCCTATGGGAGCCTTTAACATTGAATGCTATGGGAGCCTTTAACATTGAATGCTATGGGAGCCTTTAACATTGAATGCCATGGGAGCCTTTAACATTGAATGCCATGGGAGCCTTTAACATTGAATGCTATGGGAGCCTTTAACATTGAATGCTATGGGAGCCTTTAACATTGAATGCTATGGGAGCCTTTAACATTGAATGCTATGGGAGCCTTTAACATTGAATGCTATGGGAGCCTTTAACATTGAACGCCATGGGAGTCTTTAACATTGGGGCGCCACGGTGGCGAGATATTAACTCCCTTGCCTGGTATGCAGGAGTTCGTGGGTTCGATCCCGACCCTGACGGCCGTATATTTGGAGTTTGCGTGTCACTCTCTCTCTCGCAGTGGTCCCGTGGGTTTATCTCCGGGTCCTCCGGTCTTTCCCTCCACATTTAAAATCAACGTAGTTTGCTATGCTTCCCCCGCACCTCCAATTAGCACGTTTGGCTACGTACGGTGCGAAAGAAGAACAACATACCATTGGAACCTCATTTGCCAGTAAAAAAATTATAATTGTTTTTTTACCCTTCTATCTGGCAACAAAACTGACACCCTTTTACAAGGAGTCATGTTTGCATAGACCACAATACCTGCAGTCATAATGCAAACAAAAAACACAACTCTGATAATGTGAAGTTGATTGGTCCACACCCGAGACAGCTTTCCTTAGAGTCCTAGTCTCACATGGGTTGGCGTCATCTGGTCCAAAAACATGACTCCTTGTAAAAAGGTGTCAGTTTTGTTGCCAGATAGAAGGGTAAAAAAACTATTATCAAGAAAAACATACATACACGCGTACATCACCCCAGGCTGATGGGGGGCCGCGAGGTGAATCGGAGGTACGACTCAAGGAGACTGCGTTGGCAGCAGAGTATTTACAAACACGGTAGAAACGCCTCCGCGTGGCATGTGCCTCCACGCAGTGGAACAACCTTCGCGGGTACTGTAAAGTCACGTACGCAAATAAGCGGCGCGCATGTTCCGTAACGCACGCACGCAAGTGTCCCTTGAAAAAAAAAAATCTGGTCTCGGTGGACTTGCGCCTGCGCTTAAATTAAGGTCGTATGGATGTGTGCGTCTGTGTGCAAGTCTATTAGGCTCCTATGTAGTGCATCATCTGTGTCTTTTTCAGTGAGTATTCGGTTAGCCATGTAATTGTGTGTAGGTTAAGGCCATGGGTCTCCATGTAAGTCTGTGGATCTCGATGTAAGTCTGAGTAAGGTCATTATGCAGTGATGGATTCCACTGATATAGTTCTTTTTTATAAATGTAGTTTATGAGCTTTAAATTTCAGAATTGCCTTCCCCACCTTTGGGAGTTTTATATATCTGCCTCTGGGTCATTGGCTATCAACGTGAGTCTGTGGATCTCTGTATATCTACAGGTCACTCAGTGAGTGTGTGTTAGTCTGTGGGTCTCTGTATGTCTACAGGTCACCCAAATGTAAAGTTAAAGTAAAGCAATGAAGCAACTTTGACAGTAACGCATCTATTGCATAATGCGCGGGTTAACCTGATATGGGTGCCACGGTCGTGAGATGTTAACTCCCTCGCCCAGTGTACACGAGGTCGTGGGTTCGATCCCGACCCTGACGCCCGCTGTATATTTGAAGTTGGCATGTTTTCCCTGTGGTCCCGTGGATTTTTCTCCGGGTCCTCCAGTTTTTCCCTCCACATTTAGAATCATCATGTGTTTAGAGTATTTAGCTGCTATAAACTTCCACGTGATGATAAGCCACTTTGCTGAGCTGTTATTTGTGGCCAGGTCGTTTCTGAAAATTAACTATAATAGCTCAGTGGGCCTTACCTGGTAAAATAAAATAAAACATCGCTTAGTGTTGTCCGTGCACTCACGAACCAACTCGCACTGCTGCCACCTACTGGCCACGCAATCAGGCGAGCAAGTTTGAAGAATTCACAGATCAACAGATGTTCCAAATCACCCGGAATGTACCAGAACATATCAGATCTTGCAATCGAAGAAGCATTTAGCCAGGACGGAGCATGGATGGGTGATGAACATGCATGACACAGGTGCTATACGCTTTCGGCGGGGCTACATTGTGTGCAGCAGAGGGCAGTGCAGAACATTCCCAATGTTATCCGTAAGAGGTTTTTGGGTTAGATCGCGTAAATATAAATGCGTAAGGTATTGGCATTTTTTGTTCACGTGACAAAACTTACTAACTGGCTGTGTCGGGTGATGGCTGGTTTACCGACACATTCATATTTCCGCAATCTAACCCAACAGCCTCTATTATGGATGATATTGCTTGCGAAAGCCTCCTGTGTTTTAAACTCCCAATGTTGCACTGTATGATGCTCCCACGACTATGCTCACGACTTTCACCAAACAGTACGTGTTAGCATGGTGAAGCATGGTCAAATAACCAACACGACTCACACATTGTGTGGAGGCTCTCATCCAGCAGTGGATTGACAAAAGGGTTATACGCGTACAAAGATCCCCTTTATAGCTCTTAGCGAGCACCTATTAAAAATGGCACGACACACGAGGAGGTGGGTGGCCAGCACCACGCACGACCGCCTTCGTCTCCCCAGTGCTGATGTTCACACACCGCATCTGGTACTCATTGAAGGCTGAGTCGACTTGAGGGAGGCCCAGGACCGGTTAAGATATTCATCACCAATGATGGTCGTGAGTGGAAATCGAACTTGGGTCGCCGGGTTCGTAGTGCAGTGCGCCAACCACTACATCTCCCGCTGCCTACGCGTTCGCACACGCACAATGTGATCCACCATGCCTCCGGATCACGTGCAAAAAACAACCAGATACAAATATCCAGACTTGTGGATAATTCGGGCACCTTCCTTGGAAGTGTCACTAAAGTGAAGCCCTTAAATTAGCGACAGGGAGCCGAGCAAAACATGCACGGCCTCTTACATAAACCACGCGCCGGGCTGTTTGTAAACAACCATCGGCTGCTACAAATCACAGGCGATGACTTTACGTGACATGGAGCCTGGTTCGCATGATTTCGCAAACGTGATGCAACGCGCCACTGCCGGGTGTTATTGCGTTTCCTCGAAGAGGGAGGGCAGCCCGAGCAACGTTAAGCGACGGTGAAAGCCGAGTGCTTGTGAGAGACACATGCCGCATCTCTCAAGATCGTGAGATCACAATCATAATGTTTATTTATCTTGTGAGGAATCGGATGAGCTAGAAAGTAAGGGGTGCGGGTCAGTAAGTCATAACGACGAACAATACATAAACACGATAGGAGTGCAAAGTATAGGAAAGGTAAACAAATCACTTGAACAAATATACAAATAAAAGAAATAAAAAATATTTTACCAGGTAATGCCCACTGAGCTATTAGCTACTTATTCAGAAGCGACATGGCCACAAATGATAGCTCAACGAAGTGGCTTATGTGCAAATTTATAGCAGCCGCGCCGCTCGCTAACAGTATTTGCCTCAACAGTCTGTTAAGGCTATACGGGGGGGGGGGGGGGGGGGGATCTTCGTCTTTGTGTAAATTTGCGAAAATGTGTACGTGTGTGTGTGTCGATGAGTGTATTAAATGTGTGTGTGAACCTGGCAGGAGCGCGTGCCGTGCCTCAACAAGGCCTACGGCTGTCCCTTGACCCTGGCGCGTCGCTCCGTGGGCTCGCACCTGCGCTCGTGCCCTGCCAGCGTGGTGTGCTGCACCATGGAGTGGAACCGCTGGCCCGTCAGGTAGCGCTCCATTTTTGTGTGTCTTCCTTACAAGGGCAGGGTTTTGGGAACACGGACACTCTCCTGGAGCCCTCTCGTCGCAGCTAGCAGACCCCGACATTGGCATTTAGCTACTGAACGTATTGCCATCATTCGCAAGAACTGAACAGGGGGCAGTTTTGATTGATTGTCAGCGGAGATTTGGCATGTGGTGATTAGCACCCACTTCCTTGGCGATGCCATGAATTGTCACAGTTCTTGTTGGCGATTTAACTCGAGAATGGATAATGTTTTTAGTTTTAACTTTTTTTGTTACTTTTACTCCTTTGTGCTCCACCGTTCCGTCGACCCTGCCGCCAACGTGCGCCGCTGCGAAAGCAACGCAGGAATTTGCGCGCGCGTATTTACGCGCGGTTGTATTTGTCACGGCGCAGGGTGGGAGAGAACCAGCGGCGCCCGCACGAGACGCAGGGCGCGACGACGTCCGGCGACTCTACGGAGCAGCTGGACATGGCGTTGGCGCAGAGGGACCAGCGCATGCTGCTCGAGTCGCTCAAGGTGAGCGTGTTTATGAGTGTGACCGCGCTTGCTCGGACACTTCACCGGCCGCGATGTCGTCGCCTGTGCTGTAATCAACTGTCAAATTCTTAACGCCTGACCTTTTATTTTTTCAGCCGGTGTTGCGCTTTGTGAGTGATTCATGCGTCGGGCCACAAAATGATCTGGCCAGTGTTTTGCCGTGTAACCCAAATTAATTGATTTGGCCTGTGTCGGGTGGTGGAGGGTTATATGTGGAAAGGTGAAGCGGCTCTGTGTGTCGCGGCGAGCTTGCGACTTTGGGAAGCCTGCCCGTGGTATTCTCCGCGTACCGATGAGATGATTTGTACCCACGTTTCCATGGGACAGCCAACTTGAGTCGGCATCATTTCTCCCCGAGCTACAGTCGGAAGAAAACTCGAGTCGTTTCAAGTAAAAGATGGGTTCCGTGATGCGTGCCAGGTCACACACTAGCGGCTCTACCCGTCGGTGCCCTGCGCTAATCGCGCCATTTCACACCTCTGATTACCACGGTTAGCTACGTACGGTGTGAAAGAAGTTCAACGTACATTGTTCAGGGACTGGGACAGACATCCACCGCAGCGATGGAGACTTGAAATCGGCTCATGTGCAGGAACTTGACGAATTGTGACATAGCAGGACCATGAGGAATGGTGATGGCTAGGAGAGGCTTTCACGCAGCAGTGGATTGATTGATCAGGATGAAAAAAATGATGATAGTTATAAGCTAATGATGATGCTGATCGTGACGGGGTTCAGCGTTCCACAGGATGAGCTGACGACGAGCATCCATGTTGCCCGCGTAGGTGATGACGCTGTTCCCGGAGCTGGCGTCGAAGGTGGCCCTCGTCGGAGACAGCAGCGACGACGACGTCTCGTCCGTGGCTTCGGGCTCCTCCTCCGCGACGCCATCGCTCTTCCTGCCCCCCTCGGCCTCCGTGTCTGTCTCTCTGTCGGATGGCGAGGCGGGCCCCGCCGGCGCCTCGGTGTCGCCGGGAGCCGTCGGCCGCCACGCCGCTGGTGCCGGCGGCGGAACACTGGAGAAGCTGTACCGCGCCAGCGTCGAGACGACGCGCAGCCTGGCCAAGGCCTACAGCATCCTGGAGAGGGCCACGCGCGAGATGGAGCGCATGGGCCACGCGGCGGGACAGCCGGCGGCCGACGAGGCGCAGGCCATCGCCGGGCCCAGCGGCCTGGCGCCGCTTTCGCTCGCCGGCAAAGATCCGCCGGCAGCTGGCGACGGCGTCCGGGATTCCGGCGGCTCGGGACTCGGGAGGGCTCGAATCGAACGGTGCGGCGGGCGCGGTGGTCAACGGCAGTTCGGACAGGATGAACGGCGAGGGGTCGTCATCGCGGCGGTCTCGAAGAGGCGTTCCCGCGGCGGGCGACGGCGACGGTGGCGAGGTTGGGAGGGCGCCGGGCGTTATTCCCGCACGACGAGAAGGAACGGAGGCGGCGCCGGCAGCAGCGTCTGCACAGGCGGCGCCCGATGGGCGAGATTGCGCCGTGCCACGTTCGCGAGCGTCCCTCAGTGTGGCGCGCTCCGAGGAGTCGCTCAGCAGCTGCGACTCTTACGTGGACGCGGTGGACACGGTGGACGGGGCGGGCGCAGCGAACGCGGCGGTCGACGCGTTTTTAGGCGTGCCGAATTCGGTGGACTTGGTGAACGTGGTGGACGTGGCCGACGTGGCAGACATAATAGACTTCATGGACACGGAGGACGCGACGGAGGCGTGCGACCCGATAAACGGGGCCTGGGCCGACGTCGACACCGCCTGCACGAACGGGAAATCCGGGTCGCGCCGTTCGGTTCACAACGGCCTCGTCGGATTCGCGCACGTGAACGGGCCGACGCAAAGCGCCGCCTGGGACGGAAGCGCCGACGCGGCCAGCTCCGCTTCGGCGGCGGCATCGGCGGCGGCTTCCTTGCTGGGCGCCGCCTGCAGCGAGCTGCTCGAGAGAGCGGAGAGCCTCGAGCCGCGAGCCGAAGCGCCGGTGTCGTCGCGCCGCTGGGAGGGCGAGGACTCGGGCGAGCTGGGTGCCCTCGGGGCCTGCGTGAGCCGGCGGCAGCGCGAGGCGGCGCGGCTGCGTCTCCAGGTGCACGGGAGGAGACCGGCGTGGCGCGGCGACGGCGAGCCCGGCGTCGCCTACGCCAACGGCCACGGGGCGGGCGGCCCCGGCGATCGCACCGCCCCGTCTAACGGCGAGCTCGTCGATGGCCTCCACCAGCTGGGGGCACCGCCGAATGCGCCGGTTGGAGGAGGAGGAGACGCGGCGGCGGTGGCGGCGGTGGCGGCGGTGGCGGCGGAGGTGGTGGTGGAGCAGTTCCCGCCCACGTGGGAGCGTGCCGTGTTCGCCCAGTGGCGGCCACGTGTCTTCAGCGAGACGGACGGGTCCGGAGTTCACGCGGCTCACACCGGAGAGCCGAGGCCGTTCCGGGCGCCCGACTCTTTCCGCCGGTGCTACCTGGGCGACCTGTACCGCTGGAAGCGGCGCATGCAGGACAAGGCGGTGGACACGGGCGACCTAGCAAGGGAGCGGCGGGGCGGCGATGACGGCGGCGTCGGGGAGGTGGGGCCGGGCATCGACCTAGTGACGGCCGCCCTCCTCTTCTGCCTGGACGGGGAGTCGCCGTGCGGGCGCGGCGTGTCGGACCGGCGCGTCTCGCCCGACGGGGCCCGCACCGACACCGGCACGCAGACCTTCAGCCTCCCGTCGGCCGTGTTGGCCACGCGTACCATGGTGGGCGAGATGGCCTCGGCGCCGGCCTGCGACCACGCCAGCCCGCAGCTCTCCAACCCGAGCCCCTTCCCGCGGCTGGGCCTGGACCTGGTGCTGGAGTGCGTGACGCGCTACCAGGCCAAGCCGCGCTCCATGTTCACCTTCGTGTGCGGCCAGCTGTTCCGGCGCGACGAGTTCCCGCACCACTTCAAGAACGTCCACGGCGACATACACGCGGGCCTCAACGGCTGGCTAGAGCAGCGCTGCCCGCTGGCGCACTACGGCTGCCCCTACACGCAGCAACGGCTCTGCCCGTCGGCGCCCGGCGCCAAGGTGGTGCACAGCACGCGGCTCGGCTCGTTCGGCGTCCTTCCCTTCGTGCCGCCCGAGCACCGCAAGCACGGACGGTCGGCGGCGCCGTCGCCGATCGCGTCGTCGTCCGACGACGACGACGCGGTTCGCCCCGCGCCGGCGCTGGGCGACTCGGGGGGGGAGCGCGACCGGCTGAGCCGGCTGCCCCTGGAGGTGCTGCAGCAGGTGGCGCGGCGGCTGGACGGGTACAGCCTGTGCCAGCTGTCGCTGGTGTCGCGCCTTCTGCGGGACGTCTGCGGCGGCGTGCTGCCCGAGAAGGGGATGGTGACGCTGGTGTGGGAGCGCCGGCGCAGGATCACCGCCAGCGGTGGCGGTAGTTTTACGTGGCGGGTCAAGCACAAGGTTCGTTGGTCGTTTGCTCGCTTCGCTTGGTCCTTTTGTGGCCCCGGGGGCGTGACCGCCATCCTCGCCCGCTGTCCCACGGTGCTCGCCAAACGGTGCCTGACGGTGGTCGGAGATAGACGGGGGCGGAAAGTGGCGTTTTTTTTAATAAAAAAAAACAACGGTGTGCGCAATTCCGCCGATGGGAGTTTATCCAAAATGCGCGAGCATTCTCGCTCTCACAGTTTTGTTTTTCCTTCCCGGCTGCAAGGAATTTGAACGTCATTGGCGACGGGGCGCGTTTTATTACAACTTGGCTTTGAAATGAATCCGTTTGTGCGGCTCCAACGTGACGGATTTTTTGGGATAACAAAAAAACAAAGACTAAACTGGACACGGAAAAGAAAGCACGAAATAACACCGCCGTGTTTGCTTTTGAAACGCACGGTAGGAATACGATTTGTGTTACAACCCGAGCACGCCTCGCCGTGACGGGGTTCAGCGGGGAGTCACTGCGCGCACCGCTTGATAAACAACGGGCCCCGCCGTGTCCCGTGACGGGACATCGTGTGGGCTGGCGCTCCTGTAATTGGAGGAGGGAACGATAGGCTCGGCAATGCTGGGGGGCGGGCGGGCGGGCGACGCGATAACACATCGTTTACGTCGGCGTCCCTGCCGAGCTGTTTACATCTGGGTTTTTTTCTTCACGCGCTCTAAGAGAGCGTGGTGAAAGGACCGCAGGTGTGTGACGCAGTTTGTGGGTCAGTCGGGGTACAGCGCTCGAGTAAGATTGTAGAGGGGGGTCGCACTGGGGCGAGTCGAGGTGTGAGGAGATGGGTCACGAAAGATGAAGCTCAAAGAGCCAACTGTTTTGTTCCTGCACAGTGCACGCAGTTTTCCCTGTGCAGTGTTGGAACTGTGATATCAGGCACCCCGGCGGAATTTCTGTATCAGACCGGACTGCTGATGAGTCATATCTGGTCCAGAATTTTCCTGCTTTTAAACACATTTTGGTGGAAGGGATCGATAGGGTGATGGGACAGAAACGTTACTGCTGCATTGAGAAACAGGCTTTTGTCTCCATTTAATGAATTGCTTATTTATTAACGGCCCTGTAAATCTGCGAAGCGTCAAATGTGTCATTGTCTTGGTGGCGTTGGCCCTACCGTCCGTGTTTATTTATAACTTATTTATTAAACAGAGCCACGCTCGCAGGAATATTCTGCTCCGGCGTGGTGCCCGGCACATTTCTCAGGTGACGCTCATTACCAATTGACGAGCGGACAGATTGTCCCCTCGTTACGTTTCACCACCGTCGCCTCCCTCCTCGTCATTAATTCATTGCCCTCCTCAGTTAGTCTGTGGAGGTGAGGACTCTATTGGGCGATAATTGTCGCGATTAGTCGTGTACCGGGCTGACATTTCTCACTGGAAATTTTCGTTCAGGTTGTTGGTAGCACGTGACTAGCCGTAGCCACAGCCACGTAACAAAATGTATACTGGGATATCACAGAGCTAGCACCGAGTCTGTGGGCCTCCCTATTGTGAGTCTGTGGTACGTCGTAAGTTTATCGGGGCGGGCGCGTTGATTTTAACCCGTGACCTCAGTGGTTCCATGCCGCCCCGGCTCTCATAACTTATCTAGTACCCGGCTCCCTCTCGAAAACAATGCTTCTGAGAGTCCACCGCTGTGAGCAGTGTGGAAAAATTGCCCTCCCTTTGATCACTTGGCAACCCTCATCAGCCTCTGCTTGTGTGCTGACTCGTTCCCCGTGCTGAAAGCTGCGACAGATGCGGGTCCTAGTGGTGGTTTTCATGCTCCGGTTACGGCGCTCACATCTCACCGCGACTGCCCGTCATCATAATCGTCATCACCACCGTCATAAAATAATATCGAATTTTCATATCGTAGTCCCATTTATGCAACCGCATCAGGCAGCGCTGTCCGCAAACACGTAGGCGCGTGTGTCTACATTAAGATCTTTCAGCCAATTAATGAGGGAAGAACCCGGGGAAAACCCGCACGTGCGAGAGAGCAACACTCTATTCTGTGCAGATGGGACAGAGAAGGATTAGTCCACACTTTTCTGTCCCGCAATCTCCTGGCAAGCCAGGGCATGGCTACTCCACGAGGCCCATGGGGAAGGGTGCCTCAACAGTGCTGGATCACAGGCCACACGCGCAGCCACCACCGCACGGTTGCTCATGGCGTGCGGAACAACAACAACAGCAGCAGCAGCAGTCTGTGTTATTTTAGTTCCACAATCATGACTGTTCCAGTTCTTATTATATTCTGCGTGCAACAGTTTAGTTCATCGCTGCACTCAAAATGCATCCATCATACCATCGTCGGTATCGGCTATGTCCAATCCACTGCCAATCCACTGCTGGATGAAGGCCGCCGTAAGCCACCGCCATCTCCCGCGATGCAGTATCCACCCGGCACCCGCAAACGAGCCGGATTCATCGCTCCATCTCCTCTCAAATATACGTCCGCCCGGAACGCATCGCATTCCTCGGCTGGCACTCCCGCAGTTACTCACCCATCACGTCACGCGTTGCCCTTATAAAGTATTTGCTTCCGTAGCGCGGCGGTCAGCGCACTGGACTTCTGGAGTTCGCAGGGTTCGATTTGATCTCCACGCGGTTGTTTAAGCAACGCTACAAGTTTCTTAAATCCCTCCCCCCACCGCCAGCCGATCATTGCAGGTCACACGCAGTGGGATGGAGTGTGGGTTACTCCCCACGTCTTCCTGTAAATCTGACCAGCGTGGAAGAGTCGACCAAAACCAACATAAAACTAAACTTTTTATTTTACCAGGTAAGGCCCGCTGAGCAGCTGTGTAGCTCTTTTTCAGAAGGGACCTGGTCACAAATGATAGCCCAACGAAGTGGCTCATCATCGTGTGGAAATTGATCGCAGCCAAATACTCTCAATGCACATTTCTCAATGTGGAGGGGAAAATCAGAGGTGCCCAAAGAAAAATCCACGCGACCACGGGGAGAAAGACACCGCCAAATCTAAATGTACAACAGGCATCAGTGTCGGGATCGAACTCACGACCTCCTGTATACCAGGTGAGGTAGTTAACATCTCGCCACCATGCAAACTCCAAATATACAGCAGGCGTTAGGGTCGGGATCGAACCTACTACCTACTGTATACCAGGCGAGGTAGTTAACATCTCGCCACCATGCAAACTCCAAATATACAGCAGGCGTTAGGGTCGGGATCGAACCCACGACCTCCTGTATACCAGGCGAGGTAGTTAACATCTCGCCACCATGCAAACTCCAAATATACAGCAGGCGTTAGGGTCGGGATCGAACCCACTACCTACTGTATACCAGTTACGAGGTCGTTAACATCTCGCCACCGTGACACCCCACCCCCGAGAGGGGCTCTCTAGGGCTCCCTCCGATGGAGGCTCTTCCGACAGCAGTGGGCATGAGCAGAGCAATCGCAGGTCTGCGCCTTTACCTTTGCTGGCTTCCACAAACACGCTACCGTGGGTTTTTTTTTTTTTGGTGGAACGGCACAGACGCCAACACCGGGGGGCAGCCAGATGCTCCTGGAAGCGCCTGCAGTGCCTCCCGCGTCACGTCAGATTACTCCTGTCTCAAATAAAACCCCGGCAGAAGCTCGTCTGGGATTAAGCCCTGGCTGCGGCTGGTTTTTACGCCCGTGTATGCCGCGGTGTGGTCCGACTGCCCCCGAGGGTCTGGTCAGATGGATTACCCGCCTCGTTTGGCAGCGTAGTTGGTCACGCAGCGCGGTGTCCTCTGCACCACCGCCCACCACACAGGATTCGCTCGCTCTAGAAAGAGAGAGGCTTGCGCTCGGAGGCGCGAGGAGCCGCAGGCAGAGCGGGAACGGCAGCAGCCAGGCGGTGTGCCGCAGAGGTCGCAAACGGGTTTTGATTCCTTACCCCCCGTACCCGTACCCGGCCGCACCAGGGTCGCAAACGGGTACCCGTACCCGGCTGTACCCGTACCCGGCTGTACCCGTACCCTACCCGTACCCAGCCGGGTACGGGTAGGGTACGGGTATCGGGTACCCGATTGCGACCTCTGGGATGAAGCCATGTTGCAGGCGCGGGTGGGTTGATTCTAGGAACTTGAATTGTGAGAAGAGACAAGACGCTGGGAAATGAGTGACAAATGGTGACTCACCAGTGACTCACGGCCTACCCGTACCCGGCCGCACCAAGGTCGCAAACGGGTACCCGTACCCGGCTGGGTACGGGTAGCCGGGTATCGGGTAGGGTACGGGTATCGGGTATCCGGTTGCGACCTCTGGTGTGCCGGCACCAATTCAACCTCCCCCCCTCTTACGCCCCAAGCTCTGCAGTCCTCTATATATGAAGTTGTTATCGGCCAATCAATGAGCGGGAAGAAACCGGAGCAGCTGGAGAAACCCCAGGCATGCGAGGCGGCAGCACTTTATCCCACGTAGATGGAACAGATGGAGATTGGTCCGCGCGTGGTGTACTGCCATCTTGCAAGGCAGGGTCTGGTGATCTCTGTCTAAAGGAAGGTAGCGAGTAACACAACATTGGTGTGATCCACCAATCCTCCAATTCCAGAAGTGCTGCATTTACACCACCACTGCCCGGCTAAGCAAACACAAAAAAAACTATAACAAAGATTCCCTTAACAGACTGTTGGGGTTAGTGCTGTGAGCGAGTAGCAGCACCGATGAAGGTCGGCAAGGCACAAGAGGGGGTGGGTGGCCAACACCACGCCCGGCCGCCTTGTCTCCCCAGTGGCGATATTTACACACCGCACCAGGTACTCATTTCATGCTGAGTCGACCTAGGGAAGGCCCAGGACCAGTTCAGATAAGTCACTGGTGTTGACCGTGAGCAGGAATCGAACTCGCATGGCCGTGTTCGTGCCGCAGCGCGCTAACCGCTACACCACCACTCCCCACTAATCAAACACACAGACACACACCTACAAAAAAACTCCTGTGTGTTTATATGATAACGAATTATCACAATATCAGATGTTGCTTTCAT